TTTTTTTTTTTTTGTGTGTGATTAGATATGGAGATGTGTTTAGAACACACATCCTCGGCAAGGCAATCATTGTCTCGACTGATTCTGAAGTCAACAAAATGATTTTGCATAATCATGGGAATATTTTCATCCCAAGCTATCCTAAAACTATAACCGAACTTCTCGGAAAGTCTTCAATACTGCAAATAAACGGGCCTTTGCATAAGCGAGTGCATTCCCTTATCGGTGTTTTTCTCAAGTCACCCGAGTTCAAATCCCGAATCACTAGAGATATAGAGAAAACCGTTAAACTTTCCCTTTCCACTTGGTCGACCGAAAAAAGATGCCAAGTTCACGTTCAAGACGAAACCAAAATGGTATATTTTTTTTAAATTTTTTTTATTTTTAAGAACATTCACACCTTAGAACATGTGAGCATGTGAGGTTTATATATAAGTTATATTTGATGTTTTTTTAAAATGTTTGTAATAATGTGGCAGATTACATTTGAGATTCTTGTGAGAGTGCTAATGAGCATTGGTTGTGGTGAAGAAATGGAGTTGCTGAAAAAAGAATTCGGCGAGTTTATCAAAGGACTAATTTGTGTGCCCATTAAGTTCCCTGGGACAAGGCTCTACAAGTCTTTGAAGGTGTTATATATATATATATATGAATTATCTTTTTCAATTTTGTTACACTATGTCTATATTTTTTTTTTCTTCGGCAGGCAAAGAAGAAATTACTGAAAATAGTGAACAAAATTGTGGAGGAGAGGAAAGCAGCTTTGAACAAAAATAACGAAAAATCGCAGCCGAGTGATGCGATTGATGTGTTATTATGCAACTTTAATGAATTATCCGACGAGACTCAGAATCGACTCCCGTTGGATTTTATTAGTGGAAATATAGTTGAAATGATGATTCCGGGTGAGGAGACGGTGCCAACTGCCATGACCCTCGCAGTCAAATTTCTCGTCGACACCCCTGCGGCCTTAGCCCACTTGGTGGTACGTACGTATATCTCGTCTTTTTTTTTTTTTTTTGTTTATTTAGGCAGATTAATTGATAATTGTTTGTGAATCTCAAGGCTTGTTAATAATCATGGCTAATTTGCTTAATTATTATAGTGTAAATGCAATAATAATATGTTTGTAGACAAAGAGATTGAGTTCCTCTCTTTATCTAATTTTTTTTTTTATTTTATTTCAAAGGTAATCTTTCTTTATACATATGTGACAATTATATTTACATGTGCTTGCACATTGCAAATAACACTATAACATTATGCTATACTTTATGTTGTGGAGATCTCCATATATCTTGCAAAATGCACATGCTGCCAACATAGAAAAGGTTATATATATCTTCACTTAATGCCATTATAAGAAAAATCTACTTTCCGATAGTCTCGACTTTCCCCATATATATAACCTTGGACTGCCATTGATTTTATGATTATTACTTTCTGTAATTATGTTAGTTCACATTGTTTAGTTATAATTAGCAATGTCCTAAAGTACATAAAACAAGTATTCCCTGTTCATGATATGCCTTGCATCATTAGTACAGAATATACCGACGAGAACATTATTACATTTAGTGGGTCGACAAAAGTCAACCTCAATCTATAATTGTTGGAACTCTCATGTCTTGAAAGTCATTTCATATTTTTAGGCTGTTTATAACATAATGCGTTGAGTTCACGTGGGAGATACCAGTATGTGTTGCACGCATGTTTTATGAATGAATAGTGGAAACAGTGAAAATTGTAGGTTTTTTTGTGTTCTCTCTCATGCCTTTTTAGGTGTATAATCGAACTACTTCCGAGAAAATGAAGTCTAACATGAAACTAAGCGAAAAAAAAGGGGGAAGATTTTTGAACTATTAAGTTCGACTTGTGAATTTCATGCATAAGATATAAGACTTCAATTGTCGTGTTATAGTTTTCGAGTAGAGGATAAAGTTGTAAACCCGCAACATTATTGTGAAGTAATATTCCGTACGTGCAGTAGAAAAACAGATAAGAAATGAATAATTGTTTTTTTTAATAAATATCTCAGGAAGAAAACATGGAGCTCAAGAAGAAAAAGGTTGTGTCATGTGAAGAATATTCTTGGACTGATTATATGTCATTACCATTCACCCAAAATGTGAGTCCCTAACTAACAATACTAATAGAAAGTTTGAGAATTTTGTTGAGAATATATATATATATATCTTATTTGGAAATTATGGACCATTTTTTTTTTTTTTTTTGGAAAATTATTGTGTTTTGTAGGTAATTAGTGAAACTCTTCGACTCGCGAATATCATAAATGCTGTTTGGAGGAAAGCTCTCAAGGATGTCAAAATAAAAGGTGCAGTTTATCATGAGTTTCCAGTTAATTTGCTCTCATATATCATATACTCATAAGATAAATACTCAATGTGGATTTAGTTGTGATGATAAAGCTCATCATTTGATCACACTTCAAACAATTTTTGAGTTTTTTTTTTTTGCAAAATACATTTTCTCAGGTTACTTAATACCTAAAGGATGGTGCGTGTTAGCATCGTTCAGCTCAGTCCACATGGATGAAAAGAATTACGAAAACCCGTACGAGTTTAACCCTTGGAGATGGAAGGTGAGGCCCGTGTAATAAATTTCGTCAATTATTGAAATTTAATACCGACCGAAAAAATCATTTCTGCGCATGAGACCGATTTTATGCTTGAACATGTTTGAGTAATGCTGGGATTAACTATCATGTTAGACACGTTATATCGTTCCTATTGTGCTATAAGATATTTCATTTCATTTCTTTTTTTCCTATATACTTGCTATAGGAAATAGGAAATGCTAGCAACATTTTTACGCCATTCGGTGGAGGACAGAGGCTATGTCCCGGTTTGGAACTTTCAAGGCTAGAAATCTCGATTTTCCTTCACCATCTCGTTACAACCTATGAGTAAGTACCGTAAAATAATAATAATAATAATAATAATAATAATAATAATAATAATAATAATAATAATAATAATAATGTCGACGAAAATGAATAAATACGTACAAATTAAAGCGCGCATGGCATGCGATTTCAAGTATTTAGTTGACATGAATTCTCGGAATATACGATGCAATTTCACTAGCCACTAGAGGATCAAATTGTGACCTATATACCTATATATTCATGATGTACGATTTGCCCGTGTATTCCTTCTTTTGTTTCTACGGCCTTTTGACTTCAATTTTCGTTATCATGTGGTAACTTGATTTTTTTTTTCTTGGTAGATGGGCTGCCGAAGCCGATGAAATTATCTACTTCCCAACGGTGAAAATGAAGAGGAGGCTTCCCATCACCATCAAGCCTCTCTATCAGCAATAAATTGCAGCTAACAATCAAAAACAGTCGGTTTGAACCTTCCTACTAAAATTATTTCCCTTTCTTCTCGACCTGAAACGACCTGCATTAATACCATAATCCATGTGTTTGTTTCAATTTCTTTTTTGTTTTGGGTTTATGTCGGTGACTATTACTGTAGTATTGCAATTATGGAGTTGATTAGTGACTATATATGCTGTCACTCTCTAAACTGTGTTTCTTTGTATTTGATGCAAAGAGAAGGGGTCTCTTTAGTGGCCGTGGTACGACGAAGTTTGCATGTGGTGAACGATGAATTTTTCTTGTTCGTTTTCGTGGTCATCTTGTTGTGTTGTGAGCTGAATTATGGGGGTTACTACAAGAAAAAAGGCGTTTAGTGACGCTTATTTTTTTGTTTAGTGACGTTTATTAGTGTCACAAAAAATTTACCTACACTATTAAAAGTGTTGCGAGTTGCGTTGTTAAATTTGATGTCACGAAATTATCTGCGACACAAGACCTAAGCGTAGGTAAGTTTTCATTTGTGACGCTTTCTAAATGCGTCACTTTTGTAGAATTTGTGACACAAGTCGTTTGAATATGAACATTTTTTTGAGGTGGTGGTTGTTAACTAGACCCAGTTTTTGTACAAGGTGGTCCAGTTCCCATGCTGCGACTGCCCCATAGCATCAATAATGTCTTGCTGATTTAATATTCTTTGTTGATTGATCAATAATTTGCTGAACAAATTGCCAGAATTATGTTCTTTTTTTTTTTTCTTTTCTAAAAAAATTCGAGCTGATCTGATAAGCTACTCAAAGAATCTTAACAGATCAGCTCGAATTTTTTTTAGTAACTTTTTAAATAAGCTTGTTGAAATTTTTATTTCAGTTAATTTTATTAAACACTTTTATCGTATATGTTATTTTTCAGCTATAAGTCACCAACTATAAACTTAAAAAGATTTGTTTTAGATTTTTTTTGTTCTTTTTTTTACACATACCTTTGGTTAGAATTATTTATGTGTCGGTGGTACAATTCTAAAATGGTTTGTTTTAGATTTTATTTTTTATTTTTTATTTTTTTTTTTTTCACGTGGCAGGGATCAATGACAACGCACAAAGGAAGTTGTTTGACAAATTCCTTCCCATTTCACTTCACGTCATAGGCTGGCCAATTTTCACGAACAAAAGTTTGTTTGAGCTCGTTCATGTTCGATAAAAATTAGTTCGTTTGTTGATCGAGTCAAGTTCGAACACAAAATTAAGTCTGTTTATTAAGCGAACGAACAAGAGCTCGTTCGCTTTCATAGTGTTCCAACATTAATTCATTATAATTCTATTTTTTTGGTATATTTATATAATTTTTTAAACAAAAATCTAAAATAAAAAAAATTATTTTTTTTTATATTTTTCGAGTTCGAACGAGATCCAACGAATAGATTTTGAGTTAATCAAATATATTTAAACAGTTTATGTCTTAAATTATTTGAATACGAACTTACTCGAATTTTGACAGACAATTAAACGAATGAGCTCGAAAACAATTTTTCGCTGGAAAAATAAACGAACGAACAAGAACAGTGTCCGAACGTAAACGAACATGGACTCAAAATGCTCAAGTTCGACTTGTCCGGTTCGATTACCACACTAGCCATAATAAACTGCAAAAGTTTTACATGAATCACGACCGATGAAACAACAAAAAAGTGTTATGTGAAAACGAAAAGACGAGTGCCTGTGTGTGTGTAATAGAACTTGAACAAATATGGAATTTGCACCAAAATGATTTCCAAATGTGCTCGGTATAACCAGCCAGATGAATATTTATGCATAACTAGAACAAGAAAAATAAAAGCTAATATCTGCAGGAGTTTTTATTTAAAAATAAAAATAAAAAAGCTACATGACCATAATATGGTATGCAGTATTTTCCAAAAGTACATACTTAAATCCTTTTTCTAAACTAGCTGTTATAGAAGATCTTGGTATCGTGGGAAAACTTGTATATTGATTCAACAAACAAATCGAGAGATAATGGAACCAGCGGAAACTCTCCAATTTCGCATAAAAATTAGAAATGAAAAACTTGAACACAACACGTCAAATCCCAGAACTTCAGCGCACCTCTTTTATATAATGATAACAGAAGGGCAAATTACTACATATCCAACTTCATCATTAAAAGAAAAACTAAAAAATAAAAGAGAAACGTGCGCTACCAACTTAGAGATGCCCGAAGAAATCCAATCAAGCTGCAGCTGATTTCTTCTTCTCCTCCTCGATTCTTTTCAGCTCAACCAATCTTTCAGCCCAGGCTCTTTCCCTTGCAACGGCAGCCATCTTTCGTTCCACCCTTTTCATTAACTTTTTCTTTTTAGCCTCCTGCATTTGAGCTTTCCGCTTCCTTTTCTCAGACTACGCCGCATGACAGAATATTAGAAATACATAGTTAGAAAATACCTCTGATTGGTATAAAGAACAGGCACAATCTGATATCACGAATGAGGATAACTTAGTCTTTGAAAATGATAGATGTTTAGAAGCAGAATGAGAATCTCAATTTAATTAAAAAATGTACAAAGATAGGAAACCAATTATTGGGCAGAGAACAAACAGCGTGAAAAAGAACTGCAGTGCAGCTAGCCGAGCTTTGAGATACAGAGAACTTTAGTGAGCCATGGTTATATCTGTCATTGACCACCCTCAACTACCACTAAGGTGAAACAATTTTAGCATCATATTTGAGTACCCCAACAGCCTTCTTAATACTAATCCAAACTCTCGTGCCTTCTCCATAGAAACCTATCACGAGAAGCAACTTGGGGCAGTTTCCAAGAGTCGAAAGCTGTCACTATCCAAAAATAAAACTAGAGCTCAAAAGACAAACCGCTCTTTGTCTGCAAAAATAGGGCCAAAATTACAATCATGCTTAGGATTAAATTCTGCATATTCTAGAGCTGTCGCTTGGATCATCTATAATCAAATCCAAGGTCGACCTCAAACAAAAATAGTACCAGGGTAACTCATAACAAAAGGTCAAAAATTCAGTCTACTATAACAGGTATTTTCATACTTCATTTCTATGAGATTGTATTCAGTTGAACAAAGCATACCAGGAGGAGTTGACCAGATGAGTGCCTAAATTCAGTCTAACCAAGAACAAATGAACCAAAAGTTCTCCAAATTTTATCTTCAGTGACCATAAACTCTCTGGTGAAACATAAAACTAAAGGTTATCTTCATTTCTGTTAAATAATCTACCCAAGCACTGCAATCTTGAATTGCCACCTTCCCCAATTCCACATTTAGAAGTCACGTACATTCCGTTTATACACATTTCCTTCACTTCCTGGTCCTAAAATCATTACAAATAAAACCCATCCAAATACAAGTAAGGATTTTAGACGATACGGCATTTTTGCACAACCTCCCGGCATCTAAACTAGGCAGATACCATTGCCAGCAAGAAATTCACCACTAAGAATAAAAACTTAAGACACATCACTCCTCACAAGTGCACTGCAAAAGGTAGTTCTAACACCAACTACCAAGAGTTCAATGTGCATCTCTTTGCAAGTAGCACCTCAATCACACTACAATTTACGAAATCGAACAACCAAGAGAAAATATCCTCCAAAGACAGTCTAACATATAGAGATATACCATTATAAATTGGCGATGCTGCTTGATTCTTTTCTTCTCATTCCTCCTCTTCACACTTCCTTCATTTGGTTGGTTTGGAAGTATAGGTTCCCCAGGCACACATTTCACCCAGGCATATGGACCTACCATTAATTCCCCAAAGATGTGTTATAAATTTTCAAAGGCTTCAAAGCTTAATCTCACAGAATTGTATATTTTTAACATAGAGAAAAATAAATGACGATGCAAAAACCCTAAAGCTCCAAACCTGGAGGTTTCAAGCTGGCCCTTTTGCGGCGGGAATGGTCGCTGGGTCTCCGTTTGGGGTACCTGGTATCCGTAAGGCTGTGTAATGCGCTGCAAGGCGTAACCCACGGAGTGTTGCGGCGGAGGGGGGCGGATAGGTGGCGGAGCTCCGGGGGAGAGAGGGTGGAGAGGTTTTTCGACGCTGGGGATAAATGAGAGAAGGGCAAAAGGATCGTTGATACCGGCCGGAGAATGGATCTCAGGGCTCCAAAACCCATGGCTGTTCAATGCTCCGGAATTGCGAGCTGATTAGTATGGAGTAGAAAAATGGCGTTCCGATTTGTTTTTGGACAGCCTAGAGAGTAGAGACTGGAAATCAGGTAACGAGCGACTCGAAACGACGACGTA